TGAAATAATAGTATTTCACATTATTAGCTAGGTTAAACAGTTTTTACTGGCGTTTGGAAGAAGTTATTATGCTTCCCGAACTCAGCGACATCTTTTAGAGAAGCGCTGAACAAACGTTTGGTTTGAGTCTTTGCTGAAAATGACAGCAATCACCTCGTTGTTTGACAGATTTTGATTAATTTTGTGATACAAAAATTATAATTTTCGAAAATTCTGTTCTATTCATTTTTTCCAGCATTTTACTATCCGAAATTTTGGACATTTATTGTTGGTGTGCTACTCTATATGTTTATCCCTTTTTCATTTAAATCCGTGACCAAAATTTGCATATTGTTGTCAACAAAATGGTAATAATTTTACTATTTAGAATGCGTATTTTGCAACCAAAAATGCTTGAACTTCTACTCCAATCTATTATTGTTATGAACATAGCTTTTATTTCACTGAAAAGTGGTCTAAATTTGGAATTCAACAGGAATTAGTGAAAGTCTGTAAATGACATTTCATTTAAACGCCCCTCTCAAAATTTTTCATTCATGCCAGTTTTAAATTATTATCAAGTAGTTTGGGAATTGCAGATTGCTTGGAAATGCTTCTGTAATTACTTACACAATCCTTCTCCCTTGTCTTAAAAATAGGAATTATAAAGCTCTCCTTCCAGATCCCCGGAAGCTCACGTTCGGTCAGTGACTTATTGAACAGTAAGCATAGTGGTCTTAGATGCTAAATCTAAGATTATTCAACAAATACTCAGGTACATTATCTGGTCCTTCATTTACCCTGTATTGTAACTTAACACTATTGAATTTCACATCAAATTGTCTAATACGTTGCAAAACATCATTCAAGGCCTTATCATGTGACTCTGGACAATCCTCAAAAATCAGAAAATCATCAAAATAGACTAAACAACCCAAAATTTCTATTATTTAATTTTTGAAAAAATTCTGGTGCACAATGTAGCCCAAACAGAGCACTGTTAAATTTATATACACCAAAAACTGTACCAAATGCACATGGCTTGCTAGACTCTTCACTCAGTTCCACTTGATAAAATCCCTCATTGAAATCCAAAACAGTGAAATAGCTTTGAACGTATTTCATCTAGTGTGGGAATAATACAAAACTCTCGTTCTAATGCTTCTTTGGGATCCCTTGGATCCAAACACAATCTTAAACTTTTGTCATTTTTTTCTATTATTACCACGTTGCTCAACCACTCTGTAGGCTCCTCAAATTTAGAAATGATGCCTCTTTTCTCTAAGCTGTCTAAATGAGATGTCAATCTACTTTTTATTGCCAATGACACTCTACGGGGTGGCTTTGCAACAGGTTCAGCATTCTTTTTTAATTTAAGTGTACATTTTTGGTTAAATCTACCTAACCCCATGAAAACATCTTGATTTTGGTTGATAAAATTGTCTTTGTTAGGAGCTGTTTTCGAATCTACCTTGGATATTAAATTTAAGTTTATGCAACTTGACAGACCCAATATTGGGTTTTAAATTTCCTTCAACTACAACAAACATCATATTAAACTGTTTATTTTTAAACAGGCAATCTATATTTATAGACCCTAAAGGTGAAATTTTAAAACCACCATAGGTCTCAAGAGTTACACTACATTTACGTAGTTTGATATTTTTATTTGGGTTATTTTATCAAATACATTTTTTGAAATAATATTCACCTATGAGCCAGTGTAAATTTTGAAGTTAATCCACACTTTACCAATCTTCAGAGATTCAGCCCACTCATTGCAGCTTTTCTCTTCATTCACTGTGATGCTTGCCACTAAAAGTTCATCTTCAGAGTAGCTATCATTATTACTGTCATTTTCATTAGACTTCAGTAGAACTTCTTTCACACTTTTTTTGACAATTGGTGCATCTTTTACCAAATACAGGACACTGTCGATGTACATGAGTAAAACCACAACTTCGGCAATCGAATGCTTCCATATTTCCCTCGGTAACATGTCTATATTATCCCGACTCTTTTGAAATGTTTTATATGGGCGAGAGTTACTCCTCTTTAGGGCATCAATTTTCACCTCAGTGCTGGTACCTTGGACTTCTTTTACCTGTGCACTTGCTATCTCGTGTGCGCGACACACTTTAGTAGCTTTTTCCAAGTTAAGCTTATCCATCTGCAGCAATTTTTCTTGCAAAGCTTTGCTGCGAATTCCAAATACAATTCTGTCTCGGACCATTGAATCAGACTCGTGAAACTCACAACTTTTTACCAGCTTTCTCAAATCTGTTGCAAAATGATCAAAGGTTTCCCCCTCAACCTGTTTTCTATTGTAAAACACCAAATTTTCGTATACTACATTTTTCCTAGGAGTAAAATATGTTTCCAACTTTTCTAGGACAGTTTTATAGACCTTTTTCTGTTCATCTGTCAATTTCAATGTGTTGTATATCTCTATGCCTTCTTCTCCAATAATATTTAAAAGGGTAGCTATCTTAACTTTGTCTTTCCTTATCATCCTTTCCACTTGCAACTAAATATATCTCCCAATGCTGTTTAAACCTGTAGTATAACATACCCGGATTCGTTCAGTAAGATTGAACGATGAGAATTTTTATTACCTTTTGAAAAAAAATCTTCTGAAAAACGAAATGAAAAACAAATAGGACCTACGTTGTGGAGACTTACTCAATTTTACTTACTGGACATGCGCCCGACATAGCAAATATTAGGGAAATTTAAGGGAAGTTGTGATATGTAAAAGAAACGAAAAATTTGTGAAACGTCTACTTTATTATTAAAGTAAATCGTACCGTTCTCATCCTGGAACTAACGAGGGGAAAGAGCACAGCAGAGAAACCCTCGATCTAACATTCCTCAAAAATCAGAACATACTGTGTCATTTTAATAATAAGTGTGAGTCATTAATTCAATAATTCAAGTCAATAAAAGTTTAAATTAGGTACCGCCCTTTGTCTTTGTGCTAAAATTTCAATTACACACACTACATTCAATCAACACTACCTATATTCAATACTGAAGAGTTTTTTTTGTTAGTTAGCCAGTTTCCCAGCAGATACTGAGGTCCCATACGGGAAGCTACTCAGCTAGAGTTATTTTTGAGCCAATATCTCTAGATTGATTATTTCAATTTGCTAGGATATTCTCTCGTTAGGGTAGGACATTGTTAGTAGATTCAACAAGGCCCTAATGCACGCTCTAAATCCACAAATCAAAATCCCAGCACAAAAAGACAGCACATAATTTCTTAGGTTTTAATTTACTTCTTTATCTGTGTTGTTTACAGTATGAAACGATTTTTGTTAACCCTTTCAGTCACGACTTTTTTGTGTGCATGGGAAAATTCCGATGTTTGGTACAGTTACTAAGTTATTTTTTCTATGAATTTTAAACCTACGGCGATATTTTTTGGTTGGCTAGTTTTTGAGTTTGATGATGTATTCAAATGAATACATTATACATTATGACTTTACGGCTCATATCGAAACTATTTTAGAACTGGTAGTTTATGTAATAAAAGAGAGGTTTCTATTTTTTATTTATTGTGGTAGCTTGCAAAACAGATTTTTCCTACAGCCGTGCGGAAAAATCGATTTTCCGCACTGATGTGCGTGCGGAAAATGAGTTTTCCCGCACGATGCAGTAAAACTTTTACCGCACGCATATCAGTGCGGAAAAAGTTTTTCCGCACGGCTGTCAGTGCGGAAAAATTTTTACCGCACGGCTGTCAAAAAAAAAGAAAAATTCTACATTTTTACGCCTGTAGGAAAAATATTTTACCTGACACTTGTGGAAAATATTTTTCCGCACTCGGCTGCTTCACCGAACGACGCGTGCGGAAAAATTCATTTTTCGCACTTGTTAGGTAAATAGCTAGGTACCTATTTCCTTTTTTCAAACATAAATAACACACAAAACACGAGAATGACTTTTACATTCAGCATTTTTGCATCTTGAAGCAAATGACTTTTTATTAGAATCTGGAAAATTTGAGTCACGATGTATTCAATTGAATACAATCCTTTTTTGAGCTTATTACAAAAAACAGAATTTTTTTTGGAAACCCACTGATAACATAACTCAAATGAGGTATGTTTTATGTCACTAAATCAGTATATATCGCGCAAAAATATGTAAATTATTTCCAAGAAAAATAAAAATACTCAACAGATGTTTTGACTTTTAGGCAAGAGTAGCGAACTGTAATCTATAAAAAATCGTCAAAATTAGGAAATAATATCTAGATGCAGCCACAAGTCATATTTGAATTACAAAAGGGTTAAATATTGATTATAAAGTTACTACATCATTGAACTACTAAAGTGCGACAAGTGAGTGAACCTTGGTAACGTATGAAGTAGCAGAGGGGAAGACGAAAACCTATACTATACGACGCGACGGGTCCTCGACGTGGTGCATTGCGAAAATTGCGGTTACCCTGACGCGACGACCCGCGTATATGTATATTTAATCTCGGGCCAATCAGGAGGGTTCTGCCCGCATTCCTTCCATACAGGTTCACTCACTTGTCGCACTTTACATAGATGGCGATTAAAAAAAAATTGAATTCTGTGTATTCAATTGAATACAAGGTGACCGAAAGGGTTAAATACATGAACAATGCACATGTTATAAAAAATCTTATAAACAAACAAAAAATACATAAAAATGAACAAAATAATAGGAACTTGCATAAATTGAACTCTCAAAAACAAAATAACATTTAATCCACTAACCTGTGAACGCTTCTTACACACACACTAATAACAAATTGGATTGAACAATGTATTTTAATGCAAAATAGAAATGGAAATTGAATAATGAATAATAACAGACACGCGTCTAAAGGAACAGCCCCAGCTTGTTCTCAAGTCTAGTAGCGTCTCTTCTATCTTCCGTTCGCAGTACCGTTTCTTGTGGTCGAACGCGGTCACCCCTAAATTTGATGGCGCAGACAAGTTTGCAACATTTACTTTTATCCAGTAAACGTTTTTTTTTTTTTTTTTAATTTAAGTCAAGATTTGAAGAAATAATATTTCAAATAGGTGGTTTTCCTCAAACCTCTTAAAGTTTTCTGAGAGGTTTCCCTCAAAGGGCAAGGGCGGTGGTAGTCTTACATCACTCATCATTATTTTTCTTCGAAAAATGTGATTATTAACGTACAAAACTTTCTATCCATTTATTCAATTACCATACAAGACTGCGACATGTTATATTTCTTGATTGAGACATAGGTTTTTGTTAAATAATATTATATTAATTATAAATGATGAATGTTTACAACAGTCTTTCACAACTGGCTGACTTCTAATATAGTGTTATTAAAAACTGGTAATGTTCTATATATAGGCTATATCTATCATGTAGGGATGGGTGCCACAGTGACATGCTCATATTATGACAAAAAGTAAAACGAAATATGTGGTAATTTGAAAAAAAACTTTAATTAAACAAAATATTTACATGTGTACTTAATAGAAAATATCGCAGCAAAAAAATATATATTAACAAATATTTACAAAATACTGAGAAGAAATAACATGGATTACTAATAATAATAATACAGAAAAAGAGACAATATAAGAAAATGTGATTACTGAATACTAATACTTAAACCAGTGCAAGAATATATTTTGTTTTTACTTCAATGATGATAGAAAATGACATAAATTAACATTCAATGTGCAATAATTCAGAAGAAAATCGCTTAAAGAATTGCAAAGAGAGGTTTGTGGCTAAAACTAAAACAATTCATAGGTACCCTACATCGTCTCTTTCTTTGGCAATCTAGAATTTACAAATAATACATTCAGACTAAGAATAGTCACTAAACTTTTATCACAATATCACAAACTGTTTTACCTATAACATAGAACTATCTAATGTTTTAGTTGGTTAGTTTTCTAATACAATTTCATGTAAGGCCTTTGCAAAGACCCAGGTCCATCATGTTCAGGCCTATACCTAGTTTTATTTTCTTCGAACTCCTTCAGCCTTTGCGTATAACGTTCCATTTGATGTCTCAAAGTGGCATCTTCATTAGCAGCCGCTTCTTCGTCAAATTCTACAGCTCCGACGCCGTCCAAACGTTCCAAGTCCATGTAACCGCGCCATCTGACACAGACGCCGTTCATAATGAATGAGGACTTGATATGAACCTGGAACAATGAAAAATTTCTCTTCAAAAGAAATCAATCTTGACCGGAAATTGAATTCGCGCCGATTCATCCGTGGCTCGGGACGTGATCTCATTATTTAGAGCCTGAAAAGAAATCATTTCTCAACGGATGATCGGAGCTGCTAAAGGCGTAATGGTTTCTTTAAAATCAGTCGAATAAAAAAAAAAAAAAAACTAAAATCAAATAATGCAAGAACCCATAATCTGAAACGAATGGAGTCTTGAATGAAAGCGTAAAAAAAAAAAATTCTGCTTTTAATGATTTTATTCGAGATTTGTAATGATACTTATTTCTTAAATCCTTATCATATAATAATACTAAAAATTGCTTAAAACGTAAGAAATTTTCTATCAGTACCAGTTATATGTAGTTCTAATTACAAAAGAAATTGTTTAAACAGAAAAAAATTAAAACAATACCCGGTTTTCAATTAAAATTCTCAACACGTCATATGAGTCGATCACAGGTAGGTAAGTAAAATTAATATTTCCAGTAATCCGTATTACGACACTCGACAGCCAAGAATATTATTATTGGGGATTTCCCAGCATGATGCACTTCATATAAAATTTGTTTAATATTCGTTGTCTTTTGTATATGTACCTACCTCTACAGTTTTACAATACGTGTACGACCGTGACCGTGAAAATTTAATTTGTTCTTGCTAAAAGTAGAGGTCATTGAAAAATAAAGCTTTTACTACTTACTTAAGGTTTATTATTATTGCAAACACGAGTTAACAATATAAATCTAATTATGTATGAGGTATTAAGAAAATCGATTATTACTTCGTCAAAGTACCTATTTACAATATTGATTTAGTTTTTTTGCAGTGCATATTCATTTCTAATTTGAATACCCTTATTTTCTCCCTAAATAAGCATAAACACACGACATAGAATCATGGGCGCCCGGTGGGGGGGGCAGGGGGGGGCATCTGCCCCCCCCTGGCTTTTAATATAAATACTTAAAGGAAAAGTAATTTGTGCACCGATCAAAAGATACAGAGAATTAACTTTTTTTCCCGTCCGAAATAAAAGTATTTCCAAATTGTTTTATTTTTTAACTAGCGGAACCGGCGAACTTCGTAACGCCTCAGAATCAATAAATGCTAATGCGTTAATTAGCTTAATTAAATTCAGTTTTTTAATAAGATAAAATGATCACTAACAATAAATTATGTGGTTCAATAAATGTTCAAAATTAAAATGGAACAAACCGCGCAATCTGACGCTGCAAACTTGGTAGGTATCGGTTATGAGACATGGCGCCGTATGCATATTTAGTGAATTTTCTTCATAAATATGTTTTTCTTTTTCTTTTTTTTTTTAATATGTTCCAATGTTCCAATAGTTGTTATGTAATTCGGGCCAGACAAATCCAATATAACAAAATCGGCTTAGCAGTTCTCGAGTTATAGGTTTTGCAACCAACCCGACAGATAGATAGATAATACAGTTACGTCGGTTGAATGCGCGAACTTAAATAAATGTGGCAACGTTGTTTCATATTGTCAAAAAAAGTTGGGTCATATATGTGAATAAGTTTGTTTATAATTAATTAAAAAATAATTTTGTTTTCCGAGAAAAAATGTAGCCTATACTTACTCCCTTTATATAGTGACTAAGTGGTATAAATTCCAAGGAGATCGGTCCAGTCGTTCTTGTGTTCTAAAAAATAATACAGTTACTTCGCGTCGGTTGAATGCACAAGCTCAAATCAATGTGGCAACGTTGTTTCATGTTCTCAACAAAAAAAGTTGGGTCATGTATGTGAATGAGTTTGTTTATTATAACTATTAATTAATTAAAAATATTTTTTTCCGGGATAAAAAGTAGCCTATGTCACTTCCCTTCAGATAGAGACTACGTGGTTTAAATTTCAAGGAGATCGGTCCAGCCGTTCTTGAGTTATAAGTGCTTCCACAAAACACAACTGTGTTTTATATATACAGTGAGGGGCAAGCTACTAGGTATATAGGATGTAACCTGACGAATTTGCAGGCGTCCGCATGTCAGAAAATGACAAATCGATTTAGCGCTAACCTGGCGAAAACCAGGTGAAAATGTTCTACGGTTGTTAATAATTTTCAAAAATATGGTTGCATTTCTCCCCGAAACCATCAATAAAATGACGTTCAGGAAAATAATGAGGATCAAAAAGCCAAATAAATTATGTTGTTGGTTGTTGGCATTAGATAACGAAACTCCAACTATTTCGACTCGTGCGCTTACGATGTTGACTCAAGTACAAGGACGGTGAGGAGCCACAGAAAAAAATAAGTATCGTTCATACAAAGTACGAAACTTCCAAAAAATTGATCCTGAGGACAACATCAGGCGAATGGAGTTTTGTGAAACTGTCATTAATAAGGCAAATGAAAATGAAGATTTTTTTAGAAAAATTGTCTTTACAGATAAGTCGACATTTCAACTCCATGGTCGACATAATCCGAGTCACACCCGTTATTGGTCTGAGGAGAATTTACACAGGCATTATGAACTTAGAGCCCAGCGTCGTCAGAAAGTAACTGTCTGGAGCGGTTTGTATGGGCCATACTTCATTGACGCTAACTTAACTTAACGCGTTTCATTCTGGACCATTTGAATAATACTTTTCCAAACCGTCTCATTGCTGGGTCGAGAGCTACAATACTGTGACGCTCTCCCGATCTTGCACCCAACGATTATTTTCTCTGGGGTCATTGCATATCAAAAATGTATGGTTTTCAGGAGAATTGCGCCGTGAACCTTGAGCAGCTGCGTTTCAAAATTCGAGAAATATACCTAACTGTCACCCCTGTGATTCTAAATAATTTTCGTAGAGCCTTGATCGTTTAGGTCATTGTTTAGCTCAAGAAGGTGGACTGGGACTGTTTGAACATTTGCTACTTCGAAAAAAAATCTATCTAAATACACGCCTTTTAATTATAAGTAAGTGAAGCTCGACGATACAACTAAAAGCACGGTCAAGATGCTACGTTTTGCATAACGTTTTGTCTGCACAGTTCAACACGTGATCAGGTATCAGTAACGTAACGTCTGGACCGGGCTTAAGTCTGTAAAATCATAAAACGTACTGATGTGAACCATGGTTTATGAACAAACTCAACGAACGTCAAAGTCGTCGAAAAAACGACAGCGGACCGACAGCGACAGGTGTTCAAACGGCTGCGGACGATCGTAAATTCGTCAAGTTGGATCCTATATACCTAGTAGCCTGCCCCTTACTGTATAGATGTTTATTATATTAATTACAATTAGCAAAATTTGGGTGTGGCCCAAAAAAAAAATTCCGCCTGCGGTGCGCTTTCCACGATTCCCCCAAGAGCAGTTTATTTGCCCCCCCCTGTGAAAAATTCTGCGGGCGCCGTTGCATAGAATAAAGTTAATGGATCCAGTTTGTTTGTTTGTGTAGGCGGAAACCCTATAATAATAGCTGTCAATGAATGAATACGTATTGAACCCTTAAATTTCCAGTACTAACTAATAACGGGGTATTATCGACTCTACGACTATTGATTGATATTGCAATGGATATAATCACCCTCTAATACCTTTTGATTTGGACTTTGTTTTGATTTTGACAGGCATTATTGCTTTTCACTTCTGCAAACTTTCGAGGGCGATTATTGACAGCTTTCTTTGGGACTTAAAACTTCAATAGGCAAAATTTATTGGAAAATGTAACAGCATTTGTAATTAATAAACTGTAAAATCTTGACATGATTGTGGTCACATACACAATTAGTCATTAGACAATTAAAATTTTAATTATGTTAGAGTGAATCACAGATTACACAATTTAGTTTAAATAATCACGATCAACGAAATCATTAATAAATATTAGTTTTTTTTAGGACAAAGTTATTAGGTATAAATTCTAGATAAAAATTTAAAGCCTTCTAGATTTTTCAACAATAAGTCTCTTCGTTAACAATTGTCACGTGTCGCCTGTAGGGCAAATCATCTTGAAACAAAAGCCCTTCGGTGATGAACGACGGGTTTATTCCTTGATAATTGACGTCATAAAACAGAAAGAACCAGTCAACTAGCGCGCCTATTTAAACACCGCGGGGGAGTTAAAAACAAAACACTCTGCTTTTGTGAATGGGTAATGATATAATAGGTGTTTTTGTTCGCTTGTTTATTCGCTAATTGGAACCTGTCCTAAGGGGTCCACTTTAACAGCGTATTAGGCGTCAAAAGAGACTGAGCAACATTGTGATTTGGACTTTTTATTAATGATGATATTCGCCCAAAAGGAAAAATCCTTCAGAATTTGTACTAAAGAAGAAGTTTCAAGTGCTGGAGGCAATGAATAATGTCTTATTGCAAAAAAATTTGACTTGAATCCCGAAAAATGCAATGTCTAAAAGATTATAATGACGGTGGAGATGACATACAAATGTTAGTTAGTTTGGCTGAAAATATTCTACAGCATAAGACTACGTTGCGAATTTATTGGAGAATAACTGCAGGCTTGATCAATGATCTCACAAGAATGCCCAAAATTTGATTAGGCCCATTTTGTTCTCCGAGTTTTGCTCCATTATCGGCGAGTTTTGCTCCATTACCAGGAGAGACCTACAGAGCTCCCAAGAATCTCTCCCAGCACCCCCAGTGAAAATTCTGAAATTTGATCATGCTCATTTTGTTCTCCGAGTTTTGCTCCATGATCCGCGAGTTTTCCTCCATTACAAGGAATGACCTACAACAGAGCTCGAAAAAATCTCTTCTTGCCCCCCAGTGAAAATTCTGAAACTTGAAATTACTCATAGGTACCCAGTTTTGCTCCATTTTGCACCATAATCAGCTCGTTTCGCTCCATCACGAGCCGTTTTCGGATGCCACGCTTTGAGCGCTCAGCGCTTTCGAGTTAGTCCGAAGTACTTTGGCTACAATTTTACACATTCGAGTGAACAGAGTTTGGCGCTCTCAAGCTGCTCTCACTTTCCTCGCCTGTTTCCCCTGATGCAC